GCGCCGCGAGCATCCGTGGGGGCTGTTTGTCTCGCTAGCTATGATCGCATGTACCTGCTACAGCTGCCTGTACAACAGTGGTGCGGGGCAGCTGGTACAGCAGTGGGGGCTACGGTTTAACTGGGCTACAGGGGAGGGGGGGAGGTTCGGTTTAAGAGAATCGGGGTTCGATTTAAGAGAGGGGTGTGTCTAGCTATTTTGACCTTTCGATAACCGGCAATTCTCTTAAAGTAAGCTCTCTTAAACCGTAGCCCCCACTGAAGTGTCAAGTGACATAAGGAAATGCAGCCCACATCGCTGCCACAACGATGTTCCAGATGTTGATCCTCGCCCAAAATACGTTTGATTCTGACAAGCGCGCAGGCGTGATGTGTCCTCTAAATTCAAGATACACCAGGCGACACCGCGGGTGCTTGATCAGGTTAAGGTTTTCATGTTGGCACAAGAGGCCAAGCGTCAATTCTGGACCAGTAGAGGACGTCATCGAGCAGCGACATGCATGCGCAATTCCACGCTCAGGTCTTCCTGTTTGCTGTAGGGCAGAGGCTGTGCTGTCGAAGCGCCAGCAGCAGCTACACATATTATAGCACAACACCTTGTGCGCTGCGGCCCGAAAAATCGCGGGAAAACTCTTTGAATCCACAACAGGCACTCGCCGCATAGATGCAACCTCCTGCACACGCTGGGTGTACGTTCACCTGTATCTCTCAATGCCCTCCACTACTTGCTGCCCTGAACAACCGGTAGTTCAGGGGATCGCGGCCCGTGGCGGCGCGCGCTGGTTTCATTGCTGATTACCCAATTGGGCCGCAGAAGAAGAAATAAGTTGTGGTCGGCATTTCTATAGACTATAGAATCAGTACCTGGCCAATTCAGATACAATATAGTAGCGAATCACGTTCAACGAATTCAACGTATCGTTGGGTGCGGAGGGTGCGGAACAAGGGCGGTACCTCGGTGGTACTTGCGCTGCCTGAAACGTCCAAGAGGAAAATCGTGAACACGACGTGCAAAGTAGCGGGGGATGAGGCTCGATCTTATGCGCAATATTCAGATATGCGGTGATGTCGCAGTCCGTTTGTGCCGTTGGATTTCCAGAGGTTTCACATGGAGGCATGAAGAAGCTGGTCTCGAGGGGAGAATGGCCGTGACAGATAGCTGGCCTGGCGGACGGCAGAACTGGGTGGTGTGTGTGTGTGCTCAGCCGTGTGTGAAAGTCTAAGTTTGCTCCCTTCTGTTTGCTTTAGTGGCGGCCCGCCGTTGTCAAGAAAAACCTAGCGAAGAAAAAGACAACATCCGAACAAGAAAACACACACCCACAGAGGCATGAGATATAGAATTAAGAAACTAGGGGACCGAAGGTCATGGCAAATAGCTTGAGTGTCTTTGTGCGCTTCTTCCGAACAATGTATTGTTTCGATTGTTGCACAGGGAGGGGGGGGCGGCACACCTCGGCACCTTGGCAGCACGAGTTAGACGAGACCCCCAGAAGTGGTTTTTCCATTTAGTTTCTGTGTTTCGCACTCATCGGTTGGGAGACGTTAGTGGACGGAGGATATGGTTGTCGAAAGAATGGGTAACATATGACACGGCGACTAGACTACAGTAGCTGAGTGACGTAGTGTAGTCCAAGCCAGGCGATAGAGCCCAACAATGAGAAATTGTCAAAAATCTTGAGTTCTGTATTCGACCAACAGCCAGAAAAACAAGACACTGAATAAATAGAATCGTACTTATGCTGGTGTTCGCTCCACAAACAAGACTTTGAGCCTCGACCCGAAGTTGACGTTTCTTATTCGCGGGCCCCAACTGTACTTGCGGTGCGGTGTACGATGCATCACGATAAAACACTTTTCTGGTGTCTAGACTACAGAGTACTTGTACCCATAAGTCCACCGCACTCCGGAAACACCAACCATTGAAGGACGGCAAGGATCAAGCGACACCCGAACCTTCCCGAAAGAGGTAGGCGTGCGGTGTGCAAGGGATCCAATGCCAAAATCTTTGTCTCTGTCCCGGACTCTCTCCTCTCTGTACGCTCTGTGCCTCGCTGCGGCCTTTTTTCCTTCAGCGCGCCCACAGGTGGCTGCCACTGCTGTCAACGAGATGTTCTTACTGGTTAACCGCAACGTGCAACGCGGAGCAAGGTACCTGTGTCTCCTTTTCTCAACTGCACACCAACATATGTAGTAGCTGCCGTATCCTTGTCCGCCCGGCCATGCTATCGCCAGCAGTGAACCTAGCCGGAAGGCAACATGTTTCGGTGTTTTACGTTCATGGTTCATGTATAATTGTGCGGACCGCACGGGTCTGCAATCTGAACCCCAAAACCATCCCGACCTTGATAAAAAATAACAAAAATAATGAAACAAAAACCCTCCTCTCTCGCGTCCTTCCTTACGAACTCCGCCTCTACGGAGACCCCCCGAACCACTCGCCTCGAAGCTGGCGGCGCGTACACACTAAATACACAGTTCAGCCTCCTTGTGGAGAGTTGCATGTCACGTATCATGTCAGCAAGATCAAAGCTGGACGCTTGCATTAAGGGGCTTGAGGACAGCCTAGGCGCACCGGCAGCTTTGGAGGTGAATGGCGCATGTACTGTACGCAACCGCAGGGTGTAGACTCCACAGCAGTAGTTGTGCTGCCGGACTAACCAATACCAATAAGCTTTGGAAGTATACTACACGGCTGTAGTCTACAGCGGTAGATCTCGGTCTCAGTGGCACATTTCGGCGCGGTGCGTGGCTTGCGCCCCGAACTGCGAGATATCGACCCACAACAGAAGAATGGAGTCCTATACTAGAATGTTAAGTCTAAACCTACATGTTGTCAGGGAGCTAGCTGGATGACAGCGTGCCATCACCGCTGTCGGTGCTGGGAGGCCAAGAGCCCGTCGACATAGTCTATATTTTTGTATTACAGTGGATACAAAGGGCTAAACCATTAGATCACGCAACTATTTAGACCACTTTAGCCAGCTATATAATATCCCTTTGCTGGGTAAGTGTCGAAGAGAGGCTTCAAAGAGAGATGCAGAGCGGCACGGAAACAAGTTGCATTGACATACAACCGGATGCGATGGCGAAAGCAGCAACGCAAGCACACGGCCAGTGACGGCCCCGCCTCTATTGATCATCATCCGCTCGACTTCTCGTACATCCTCGTTCCTGCCCATCAGGACAGCATCGGTGGCGTCCCCTCCGCAACAGGACCAGCGACAGCGCTACAACTTGTAGATAGCACCATCGCCACCCTCGAGGCGTCTCTCGGTTTGCCTCCAGGAGCCGTTCTTCCTCTCGCCGATGCTAAGGGCATTGCGGGAGGAAATACGAAGCATCCCACGAAGGCAAAAGAAGGCGTCAATAAAGGGGAGAGAAAGAAGGCCAGCAAAGGTACAATACAACGCCCATTGCCCCCTTGGGCAGGAAACCTCAGGAGAAAACCTCGAGTTTCGTCCCTCTAGTAATTCATGACGGTTTATTTCCGCTTTCGCTGGTTACCTGTACAACAATGCGCATGCCAATAGGTCGATGCCGATCGTATGCCAGCGGTCTGTACAGATTCTTCCAGTTCGAGCTGCACAATGCTTAGGACCATTAACAAAACATTGTGTTACTGACATTGTGGTGTTCCAAGGTGCATTCATAGCTGCTGCGGACGCCGAATTTTATATCGCTTGATGTGTTGACTGGGACAAACAAAACGGCCATTAACTGCAGCAGCTGCTTCAACCGCTGGAGTTTCATCGGCGGATCAGCCCGATGGAACGAAGGTCGACCTGCGGGTGGGGCAAATCACTCGAGTCTGGACGCACGAGACGGCCGATAAGTGAGTCGCGGTTCGCCATATTCCGTATCGGACGCAGCAGCACACCATCCAGTACCCGCTTCGTCGAAGCGCCCTCCTCGAATTCTCCACCGAACCAAACCATGGTTGCTTTCGATAGCGACTGGCTATCTACGTTGTTGATATCTCCTTGCTGCACAGAAATTGGGCGACAACAAGCGACTCTGCGTGGGCACGGGGTGTGCATGTATCCAGTCTCATACCGTACTCGTTCCTTGGACGGTGACGGTATCCTAACCGTATGAGTTGAGACGGCACGACAATTCCCTGCAAGAGCAAAGGTATGGTTTTGTAAACGTTGCTCTGGTTGCTGGGGATAACATCAAACCAGGCTATACTGCGAGGAGATTGACGTTGGAGAAGGAGCTCCTCGAAACATTGCTAGCGGGCTCGTTCCGCACTACTCCCTCGAGGAGATGAAGGGAAGAAAGGTTATCGTCATGTGTAACCTGAAGGTGAGGGTGTGCGTCTTGTCGAACACATCTCGACCATTTTCTGTTGAAACCCGACGAATCGTTCACAGAAACTGCGGGCGGCTAAGGGACTGGGACTGAGCGTTGTAGCGTCCCTGGATCAATAGCTGTGACGTTTTAGACGACGACAACCTGTGTTTCATTGTAGAATTTAGGACAAGACGCCGCGTACTGCAGCAGCCGTGCAACATATTGGATGAAGAGCTGACAGATGCCATGGTGTGACAGACTGGATAGAGTTTCGAGAGTCGCTTGGAAGCAGTGGACCAGACGTCGTTGAACGTCATGCTCTGGCGGTGAGGGCGTAAGGCCAGCGTATGTGCCGATATCCATTTATGCATATGTTAGGGCTTATTTTTGCACGATGTTTCTTACGCGAAGGTGTACACAGCCCGTTGCTTCTGCGCGCACTGCCGTTTTCTCTTCCACTCAATGCATCAGTATTGCAGCACGCTCTTGGTGTATGCGAGGTGCCCTTTCGCCTGTCGCGCAGTTGGATTTCGCCTGTCGGGCCTACGCATTAACTCTCAGCCTCTCGTGTCACAGCTTCGCTGATCTCGCTGGGGACCTGTCACACTGACCGGCAACGCGTGATATTCCCTCCAGGCTCCTTTCAACTCTGAAACTGCGACCAATCAATGTTGTCCCGCGCCTCTTTCGTGTGTATGGCATTCTGCGCCCGTTCCCCCACTGCCGGCCACCGCCTTGATGTGGGGTCCACTTTTTGGCCTGTTTTTCTACATAGGCTTTTATTAGTACCGCCATGAGTTTCAAATTCAACCTCCCGCTTTCGCGCCGTTGCGTGTGTCTCTCGTGACACCGCCCTTCGCCGGCATAATGATGTCTTTCGCGGTGATGCTCGTCGTGAAGCCGCGCAACCTGAAGGGGTTCAAGAGCCAGGGAATGGTGGTGTGCGCCGTCGGCGCACTTAGCGACGGCAAGGTGCGGTCGGTGACTGTCAGGAACTCTCCGGCAGCACCGCTTGTCTCTGCGAATCATGGTGTTGCAGCATTGTTGCTATTCGTTGTTTTATATGTTTGGTTTTTTGTTTTGTGATGACTTGGCCAAACATTGAAAATCAAGAGTTAGAAGCACATGTTTCACGTCGGTGCATGTGACGTTGACCCAATTGAGATCAAAGTTAGAAAAGGTTTTGATATCTTGCCCACTCTCTTATTACGTTAGCTGTCGGCGTTAATTCCTGCGGTCATCGACACGAGCCGTTGGGATTGGTGGGTTGACGGCAATATGGTGGATTTTCCACGGAATGCACTCCACACATATTTGTGTGTTGTCCAGGGTACCTCGTGGGTCGATCACCCTTCCATTGTCGCTCAAATGCGATTAGACTTCGGAGCTTGTGGTCGTAGCCTAGGGGTTGTATTCTGCGCTCGTCCCATTTACGGGTACTCACAGGCTGCGGGATATGATTGATCCGATCACAGCGGGAACGTCACTATCCAGTATCAAGAAAAACCGCTGTATGTTCGGATGGCAACACAACGGGAGGAAAATGGGAAAGTTTTTTGCGTTGCGACACAGCGTATCATCAACAATGACTACGACGACGGTATCTTAACCAACAGGAACTTGTCGAGCTTGTGGTTCCGCCGGAGGGATCTGCTGTGGGAGAGAGGCTTTCTTTCGAAGGACTTGTGGGCGGGCCCTTCGAGCCCGTTTCCGCGGCACAGATGGAGAAGAAGAAAGTATTGGACATCATTCTTCCGGTAAGAGATAGCTTCCGCTTCATTCCGGCGAAAGACAATACTTCTTGTTTTATTTTGTAGTTATTTGCAAGGCGAAATTATCAGCGTGTCTACAACGTATTGCGCAAGTCCTTACGGAGGGCTAGTTGCAGAGGCAAATTTCGCATGCCCTTTTGCAATTTTTCCAACGGTCACTCCCTCCCATGGGGGGTTACCGCTCTGATGTACTTGCTGTAAATTGGTCTTGTTTTCTTGGTCCATGCGCGTTGGTCCGGGGTCACGAACGGCGGAGGACGCCCCACTGCTTTTGAGGCTCACTCCACTTCCTATCGTCGACTCCCCGTGGCCCCCTTGTGAGATCAAGGCCGCACTTGCCCGGGGATCACCAACCCTTGTGGAAGGCGACGCGACGAGCAGCCTCTCGCTTCGGTTATAGAATGCGCTCGCTCGAAAACGTCATCGTGAAGAGCATAGCGAACCCCCCCCCCCCCCCCCCCCCCCCCCCCCCCCCCCCCCCCCCCCCCCCCCCCCCCCNAGCCTCTCGCTTCGGTTATAGAATGCGCTCGCTCGAAAACGTCATCGTGAAGAGCATAGCGAACCCCCCCCCCCCTGCCCCCTCTCTCCCCCCGTGCGCCCTACCACCTGCGATAGGAACTCACCACGGATGTGGAAGGCACGGTAAGGTGGCGAGACCACGCGTTGGTGTCCTCTTGCGGTGCGTGCACGGCCCCTACCGTCCGTGACGGCGCCGTCCGCTGAATAAACGCTTTTTGGCGACTTGACAAAGTGTTTTTCTGCCCGTGTAAGCTCTGTGAGAAGGGTAGTACCCGTGTGGGCACCTTGTGGCTTTCGCGTTTTTTGACCCAACCGCGCCTAGACCACGATCACCAGCGTAAACGCTGATGATTTCGGCGTGAGGTGTGGGTTGCGCTGCTGACGCATGTAGTTGGGCGGCGACTTCAATGAGGCGCCTGGAAGCTCCCCGAGAGGTCAGTTCCGGTAGCACGTGTAGTACGCGTATCCGAAGGGTTGCAGCTCGCGAAAACAGCCGTGTGAATCGCTCGGGGCCCGGAGCTCTCTTACAGCGGCGATGTGCTCGGCAATAGGGCGGTACTTATAGGCGAACTCTGTTGTCGCGAAGGCACTTGGGGGATTTCGAACGCGCATGGTCCGTCCCAGGTTGGAGATGTCGGTGGAGGAGCTGTGGAGGAGCGGGTGGCTTGTTTGTCGATTTTTCGTTCCGCGCTCCATGTTCCCTCATTTGTGCGCGTGGAACACATCATCGAGTTACACCCCAGAAGGCCATCAATACCCTTGAGCTATATAGCATCCGCGGCCGCAGGCACACCCGATGTGGAACAGCAGAGACGCAGGGTTTCTTGCTCGCAATGCAATTTCTACCGTCTATTTTCGCCCCTATTGGTACCGTATCGGACTGTCCTCTTGTCACGGCGTGTGAAACCAGACTACAAGCTGGAAAAGCTCGATCATCTTCCCCCTTTCGTACCCACGGCGTCATCAGCCCTCGTTGCTGACAGGGGGAAGAGGGTTACCAAACCCTTCCCACGTTGTATGCTGTAGTGAAGAATGACGTAGGATATCACCCACCGCAGCCACGTGTGCATGCTTTTGACCGCTCTCGACTGATTTACAAGTGGGAAACGAGAGAGAGCCTGTGCTTTGCGCAGTATCCTGGAAATGTCGCGCAATAGCGCCGTGAACAGCGCCAAGATGGGCCTTGGGTGCTCTTGCCCGGCCTTGGACCAAACATTGGTGGAGCTAGGTGTTGGTCGCCATGCCAAGACACCGTCTTCCAACAGGAGAAACTGGTGCATTTTTTTTACAATAGATATCGTAGCGAAGAACCTGGGAGTTGGCATGGTATCGATCTGTTACGATGTTTGGGGAAAAGGTATGAATGTTCTGAGCCCAAGACTTCGTTATCCTGTCATGACCACATAGTTGATGTCCCAAAACGGCAAGTACCACCATGCTCCTCTCCGCATCATCACAGACGAGCAACATGAACCTGAATCCGAGGGGCTTTTTTTGTATCTACAATCGCGCAGGCAAGCCTTACTTGATTGGTGGTGTAGTACAGAGGCAACATGAAAGCTCCCAAGAACTGCTGCAGCTTAAGCAAGCGTATGCAGAACACAACGAAAAGAAAAAAACAACAGCAATTACGCCCGGCAAGATGGCGCGCTTGGTGGAAACTCTCTAACCCAGAGCGCCGCTTTTTTCGCTGATGTCTCCCTCCTTCACCCGAGAAGCCGAGAGCGAACCCCCAACCCTCCCCTATCCCGCGCAGTCGTGTGCATGCCTTGCCCGAAACAAGCCGCCCGAGAGGTAACCACGGGGCTTGCGCCTGTTGCAAGGCCAACCCGGGTGTCGAAAACACGATGTTCGCTGCCTAAGCTTTGCAAAGATCGTGAGAGAGAAGGAAGATTGAAAGCGACATGCAATGGCCACAGATGCACGCTGAGCACTCATATCACCACCCCCTCCGCTTGTGTTCGCTGGCACACCTGGTGATGAAAGCTAACGTGTCATGCCTCTATGGGACGTTCAACCACACACAACACCAAAGAAAGGTGAATGCAAGCTTAACGACGATATTCATCTGGTAGAAAAATCAAGCTCATTGCTTGTGATTCGTGAGGGTATCGTGATTTGAGGCGGACTTTTTTGCCGAGTCCAACATGTTAGCCTCGTGCTCATCGAGGACTATGTGGACTTCGCCTGAGAGATTCCCAGAAAACTCCCCAGTGGGCCTCTCGCTCATGAAGTGACACATAACTTGTCGCACAAGCCATAAAACTACTTTCTCGCGAGATACACGGTCTACAATACATGTTTCCTCTCTACAACCTTCCTCAAGTGCTTCTTGGGAACCTACTAAAAGCCGCTCAAGTTGACCACCTGTACAACACGAGTTGGAGTTGGTGCTGTCCTATTTGTTCGGGAGATCAAGAGATTGTGCAAGCTGCCGATTGCGCATTTGGGTCCCCAAGCTCCTTTAACAAGCTGCACGTGGCCTGAAAGAAACACAACAGGTGAAACGCACATTAGTTCAACAGGTAATTCAGGATATTTCTTACGACAGGGGGAGGGGTCGCCTGTGTTCATCGTAGTACTTTTGTCATCTTGACCATGCATTACTGTCGAAATCAAGCACCGTTGTCATTCCTACGGCACACCCTACCAAAAACGCTTGGTCACCGAAGGGTTTCGCCGACCAGCGCGCTACATATTTAGTGTGTGCGTACGTCATTGTGCTCTGGTAGTGTTCCACCAACATTGAACCTGCATCGAGCGAAATTGTACGGCTGAGATGTCTGCGAGCCTGCCTTGTTGTGGTTGTTCCTTACAAACTGTTCCAGCGCGTTCGAATCTCGGCTTGTTTTCGGGATAGAGGTCATAACGAAAGCCAAAAGAGAGGTCCAATATCTAGCCGTGTGAAAGGCGACCGACCAAGCGCGATTCCCTTTGGGCTGTTACCATCCTGTATGACCGACAACGGGAATCAACATTTCTGACGATGTCACAAACTATTCTGAAGATAATGCAACTACCTGGAAATTTCTTCCCCTTCATCCGACAGGTACTTGACTGGTCGACTGCTGTTGCTGCTGTGCATGCTGCTGTAGCCCCCATCTGAACGTTCACACTCGGTACCTCTCTTTCCTCCCCGACCGCCGTACCAATGTGCAACCATGGCGGGAAACAACACGAACATGATTACCTTGTGTTGGCCTGCTGCGGCCATATCAAACGGCGTTTTCCCTCCGGCATCCTGTTTGTTGCACATCTCCTCGAGCACTCCGAGCGCTGTTGCTTTCTCCATCAAAGATCTAACCACATCCACCCTGCCTCCTTCGCACGCAGCCAAGAAAGGCGTGGCCCCGCTACTTGTTGTTTTGAACAGATCCGTGTCCTTCCGGGTTAGGGAAGCAGACGAGAGCGAGGAGAAGGGTGGCTATATGTTAGACTACATGTTTTGCGGAGGATATTGTGTTTTTTGCCTCTCAAGAGCAATGCAGCACTAATATAGTCTAGTCACAATTGTTGTATCCGGAACAAGGTACTTCTAACCGTCGCTCGTTGTCGAAAGGTTAAGGGGCACGAGACATGACGGGTAGAGTTGCGGTGCCAGTGCTGGTGAGAAGATGGTCACGCCCACGTGAGGTGTTTTGATGTGGTTGTCTGACCGATGTTGAGATTGTTTTTTTCGGTACCACTAAGGGTGGTTCTTATCGACCGAGAAAACACGGAATATTTCACGGAACCGTTTTTTCTTGAACACATATGGAGGCGTTTTT